GAACACTTAAAGGTGAAAGTTCTCGGAACTAAGGTGACTGAGCTATGGAAGGAAGTATCCAAGCTCAAGCATCAATGGAGATCACACTTCAAAGAAAAGGAAGAAGGTGAATTCCTAAGGTTTGAAGGTGAACTCTCAAGGTGACTTTGATAGGAGAAACTCGGCACTAAAGGCTCTCAAATTTCATTATCCATCAAAGTGAGTACAATAAGGTGAAGGAGGGAACATATAGCTTCCGAAAATTAGGTGGATACTTGGCGCCACATGAGTGGCCACCATGTTGGCGCCAAGTTTTGAATTCAAATTTGAATTTGAATTCAAAACTTGTCACACATGTGTATGACCGGTCCCATGGGTGCTTGGTGCATTTGGCTTTGATTTAGTGTGCATTTAGGGTTGAATTTAAGTCACACATGTTCAGCCAAGGTGGCATAATCCATGTGACTCAAAATGCAACTTAAATGCATGCTAAATTAAACCTAATTTTGCCTAATCAAATGCAACTTAAATGCATGCTAAATTAAACCTAATTTTGCCTAATCCTCTTAAACTAATATTCCTCCTTAAATCCTACTCTAATGACCCAAATACAATGGTCCAACAAATACAATGGAAAGGAAAAATTACAAGAATGAAAATGAGCCCAATATTGGGTACCAAAAGCCCAAAGGCCCATGAAGCCCAAAACTAGGCCCAACTAGCCTAAAACCTAAAATGCTACTCTATGTGGTCCAAAATACAAGACCAAAATATATTCAAACTATATTAGCAAAACAAGAAAAGAATGTTCATAACAAGATAGGCCCATGTTCAAAACTTGGTTTGGGCCTTCCAAGCCCATTGGGCCCATTGGGCCTTGACTGGCCCAATCTTCCATGTCTAGCCCACTCCTCTTGGATCTTTGAGTATGTCACCTCTTGCTCTCCAAAGCATGATTCCATCAACTACTACTCTACAAAATTTTGACCTCTTAAAGTCCTTAAAAGTTTTATTTTGGTCTTTATTAAATGGAGTCACATGAATAACCAAGAAAGACATGACATCATACTTAATATGCCACATCATCATCCATTAATAGTGTCATTAATATCTACTAACAGTTAGACTAAGTTGACAAACGAAATGTAGATTTAATATGTAATTTATAATTTCAATTCTTTCAAGAAGTAACTTATTAGTGTATCACTATTAAAAAAAAAACTTATCAACATATCACTGATCATACTTTAAGAAACTACGATGATAACTCAATCTGATATTTTATTATGACATTCGTAAGTCCACTCATTTATTGTAAAAAGAAAAAGATACAAATTATATTTTTTGTTTGTTTTTCTCCTTATTAGCATAAATTTTATGGCGTAAAGGGTATCTAAGAAATTTGAATGTAAAAAATGTTTTAATGCTATTTTCATTGGTCACCAAAAATAAAACAATTTAGCTCCACCCTCGGTCCAGATAACTGATTTTGTCTAACAAGTGTCCATTTTCTTGAACGTAGAAATCGGGTATAAGTTATTTTTAAGCCCAACCCACCACCAAAACAAAAACTGAAGCTAAATCCAACTGTATTGTATAATATTTTGGTTCTTGACTCGACAGGGGTGCTGAAGTAATGAATTGTTGATTCGACATTAATATTTTAAAAATATTTTGTTAATTTTAAATAGTTCTAAAAGCATATAATACTTCTGTATGTGAAATTATTCGTGCGTGTAAAAATTCAATTTGGTTAATTAGATACAAATTTTGATCTAAAACTTTTGATTATTTTATTTTATTTTCAATGTAAGTAGAATTTAGTTTTGTTTGGTTTGTTCATTTTAACACTTTTACATTATATATTGGATTGGTTTTACGAAATTTTTTAATTTTCTACATTGAATGTCAATAAAATGTACTGTATTA